AGAATCCCTCTATAATCCAATAAATCCATGAAACTAAGTAATATTTCATTAAGCTAAGAAATTTGTAAATACGCTTAGAAGCGTTTTTCAATAATTACTTAGTTTATAGAGCTTCTATTCTTTAGTCATGACAAATGATCCACCTGATGAATATATACTCTTGTTGTCCAAGTTGAGACTTTAAATTGTATCTTCATTCTAAGAGGTAATATCCTTTTAATCTTGATTTCGTAAAATTTCAATTTCATTTCATTCGATTTCATTTGGCGCGAATAATGTTGCAGATCATGATAATTGAAACGACATGAATAGAACCAGTCTAAAATTTTATCTCAATTACCAATGCAGATTTAGATGTTATTATATGAAAAACGCTATCCAGATCGTGTTTAGAATCGGGCAGATAAAATAGAATAATTACATAATATTAGATGATAGATCGGTGACAGTATCGGTTATTGGATATAGCTCGAGTAAAATATCAGCTTTATGGACTCCGATGCAGATGATATTTAAAAGGTGCTTGTTTATTCGGTACAAAAAGTGACGGTAAGTTTTGTCCGCGAAGGGTTCTTCCACGAGAACGATACATCCCACTACAAGGGATAATCCGTCAAATGGTATGTTGGGGCCTGTAATAAGGGTCTTGGACTACTTATGGTCAAGCCGCAGGATTCCACACAAAGAAACACAACACGATTACCCGAGAAATCTTTCAGAGAATTGAAATAATGTTGTTATTTAATAGTTGCCGGGTGATTGGGAAAAATAAACATTCAGATGCAGTCAAATATCCGAAGATTTCCGTCTGGAGGACTATAGCTATGTAGAACCCTATCTCCACCTTGTTGATAGAGACAATTTTTACTATTCAGTAAAATGTTAACTTTCACGCAGCTAGGAGGCCATGTACAGCAGTTTTGAGAGAGCGCAAACAACCCAATAAGATAACTGTGTAAAATATGTCCCACGTCATTTTTTTCTCACTAAATTGCTGAATTTTTACGAGCTGGATACGAGTAATTTCGAACAAACCGTGACTCTAAGGTTCAGAGTGTGCCACATGATTAGACTAATTATCACCAATTAATGTGAATCGAGTTAATACATACTAATAGTTGATTGGATGCTGAGATTGTAAACCGATGATAGCTTAGTGTGAATATTCCGGTTCCGGTTTGGCTAACTATTCAGGCAATCGAAAATTCTAATATATAAATGAATATGTCTAATGCAGATAGGCCAGGAAATTCAATGAAATTTGAGCTCCTATTGAGATAATGTAATGAATATTTGTTCAGTCTGTGTGGAGTAATATCTAATAGAAGTGTTAAAAACCTTACAGCTAATATTTCGAATTATATTATGCGGGCCTGATAGTAAGCACTAATGCAGTTTATGTAAATACTTAGTTCTAAAGCCAAATAACACAAACTATACAGAATAAAAATTACAAACTTGTTTACCAAATCGTTTCAATTTAATGATATAATGGTATTTAGCAGTGAAAACGACATAGATTCAATTATTAGTGCATCACGCTTATTGTTACAATGGCATTTAACATTACAACAGTAAAAACTATTAATGCAGACGAATTATAAGAGACAGACATAATCGAAATTTTACACGGATTTAAGGAGATTAATTTATCCTAGATCAGGGGTTTTCAAATTGGGGGTTTTGAAAATTTTTAGAGTAAAAAGGCGTTTGGTAATTTAGCATGTAATTATATTGTAAGACTTTGATGAATTAGATGAAATCCTACTATGGTTGTCGTTTCTACTGCTATTTTTTCTTCTGTATAGTTTGTGTTATTTGGCCTTAGAACTAAGTATTTACACAAACTGCAGAAGTGCTTACTATCAGGTCTGGACTATCTGCTACCCATATTACTTTTCAGAATAAAAATGTGACTTCATAGGCCGTTATTGGGCTTTCATGGTCAGTAATGATAGCGTCATAATATCACGGAGAGACTTCCTGCTTGTTGTAAGCTTTTTAATGACGTAAAGCTTATCTGACATTTAAATGATCATTTGTGCACCACACCCCCACCCCCTCCTCCGCAAAAAATCTCTTTGACTCGGTTTCTAAAGGTTAAAAACCTCATCTACGTGTTTTCATATTACCTAACACAGTATCATGTTCTGTGTTATATAAATGCCATCTCACTGATTATACGATACAATTATTGATACGTGTGTGGCGTATTTAATTAAATAATACAATGAAAACATAATAAAGTATCCACAGTTTGCATCTGGTATACCATGTATATATACCAAACGTATTACATTCTATAGTACAGACGGAATGGGAATTCTACGTCCTCCGGCAGTGGTATATTACTGTGCTTCTATAATACAAACGTGTTTAATACAATTATCATTTATGGAACAACACACTGTAGGCCTACTGGACTAGCTTATACCTTGACTTCATTTGGCTCTTTTTTGTATCACGGAATGCAGCGATATGATTGGATTGTACGCTAGCGAATAAGGCTAATCAGAGTCTATAAACATTATGGCTAATAGTTTACAGACTTTCTGTCGAAGGCTCTCATTAGCTTATTCGGTAGCGTATACCCAAATCGCTGCATTTAGAAATACTTAATCATGCTAAAGAAAAGTTCAAGGTGTTAGACGTAAAAGCTTAACATTCTGAAGATGTTGATTAGCTGTTGATTATTTTACGTCCTATTTTTGCATCTAATAGGCTTTATTTCCAATTGTCGCGAACTTGAACGCCCTCTCCGACCTTCATCACGGCCAAGAGAAAACCGAGTTGTAATATCGGAATGCACCATCTCGATCTATGCATATGTCATAGGGCAAGCGACTGACTCACTGAGCCACTATAGCCCCGCCCACCTTAACAAATGGACAGATACTCATTACAATTTATTAATACAGTAATGGATAATCTAGCGAAGCGTGTGATAAGCCTCACGTGAATGCTGAAATTAATGCAAGTTTAGCGGTTCGAGACTTCTATTACAGGTACAATGAACAGAATCTGCATCCATAAAAGCGCCAATTCCCTTAAGTGTCTCTGAATAAAAACAGAGGGACAATAAGCTAATCGGATCTGAAATACTCTATCAATTATTTACATTGTATAATTCTATAATGTACGATATGCATATGGTTTCTATCAACATTTTTTCTATCTACACTGTAAACACTTTCTATCTACACTGTAAACACCTTTTTATCTACAATGTAAATTTATTTTTATCTACACTGAAATATCATATGTTCTATCACCATTGTCAACACTGTAAAAAACAGTATAGACTACTCTGTAGAGATTTTTTTTATCTACAATGTGAAAATTGTAAACATTCTCTACATTTTGTTTCTACAATGTAAACATTTTCTATCTACACTGTAGATATTTTCTATCTACACTGTAAACATTTTCTGACCACACTGTAAATATTTTCTGACCACACTGTAAACACTCTCATTTTACATTGTAAATATTTTCTATCTACACGGTAAACATGTTTTATCTACGCTGTAAATATTTTCTATCTACCTGTAAACATTTACAAACTACACTGTAAACCTCTTCTATCTACACTGTAAACATAACATCTTTTTTATCTACACTATAAGTATTTTCTTTCTACACAATAAGGGCCATATGCAGCGCCCTTACCTTCACTAAAGTTGAACTTTGGCTAAAGTCGAACTTTACAAAGTTAGGATTAAGGCTTTCATTTTCTACATTTGATAGTCAAAGACTTTCGTAAAGATCGACCGGTGCATACCTAAAGTCTGACTTAAGTGTAACTTTAGTCAAAGTTTAGGTAAAGTACGAGCGCTGCATATGGCCCTAAGTATTTTCTTTCTACACTCTAAACTTTTTCTGACTACACTGTAAACATTTTCTACTACACAGTACACATTGAACAAATCGAAGCGTGTCATGTTCAACTTGAAACCTGAAAGGAAATATGACCGCCTCTTTAGGTTCCGCTATCCCACAATTCCTATGTATGTAAACGTATGAGGAGTGTTGGTTGGTTATAAATTATACCTTTGGGACAGGGTTTGGTAGGAAACTTCTTAGATTACAGACTAAAAATATCAGAAAGAGAAAAAAAAAAAAAAAAAAAAAGAAACAAAAGTGTAATCTATTTCGTTCATGTTTTGTCTGCAGGTGACTTTGTTTGCCATCCTTAATCTGTCAAAATTCATCTTCAAAGTTGTAACAGTGTATGATATTATTATTAATCACTATATCTGTTTTGTTTCAACAGGATGGTTGGATAGTGCAGAGAGTAACACAAACACGAAGACCGAGAAAAGAAGTGTGACCAAATACGTAGGTGTCATAAAAAGCTATACAAGTGTGGTGTATTTCTATCAATAATTTAGTATTATTCTCGCAACTCTGTCAAACTATTGTTTTAATACTTTTATATGTTATTTATATAGTTCTTTATACTAAAAAACAAATGTGTTTTGTATGAAGCCTGTATGGAATAATGAAGCCAGTTTGGAATAATTGTCAGGATAATTCCACCAGAATGACTGACAGGAATATTACTCTATCCTTTAGAGATTAGTTTCAAAGTTGACATGTAGACTCTATTGTGGCATTTACTATTGGAGAATGTGTTTTTTATCGTAAAGAGTGGGATGTTACTAAAAAGTGAACCTTATTGAATGTTTGACCTCCAAAGTGTCTAACTCTGAACCTTACAGTTTTGTTCAGAAAGACGCCTAAAAAGTTTAAAGTGAGAACATACGCGGAACACCAAATTCAAAGTGCCCCAAACGAAAAGTCGTACATTATCAAACGCCAGTTCTTTCTATAACGCACGCACGTTCAAGCGACTGATTCCAGCTTCCACAAATTTTCAGTAACGCTTACTTTTGAATATGGCCAAGAAACGTCCTAACCAAGTGCCCAATCCAGAAGCACCTCCAGTGACTACTGGTCAAAGGATTAAAAACTGTCTGATTCGAGGATTCAAGAAGTTTATAGTGTTTATGATATCTCAAGTTGGATTGACGTGTTTAATGGTGGGCTATGCTATAGCCGGTGGTTTTATATTTCTATATCTAGAGGCAGGACATGCTAAAGAAATAAGAAGCTTTGTAGGATTTAATAGATTGGCACACGTAAGTAGTCTTTTAAACATTAACTACAATCTGTAGAAAATATGGCTACAAAAGAGCAGGAACCCAAAATTAGGGGAACGTGGATAGGCATATAAAATATATCAATTTATTTTATTCTTCTTTCATTTGCTTATTAAGTTTGATAAAGCTAGCAACCGCTAGCTTAATGGGATTGGATAGTGTTGGTCAATAGCACCAGGTATTTTAGAACTCAATTATTTGAAATTTGAAACTGAAGCCGGGTCAGCACCGTAGAAACGCCACTGTAAACATCTAGTTGCTTTTCTCCTGTCCATTAGGTGTACAATAGCATCTTCATAGTCCTATTATGATCTTTTTTAAGAAAGGTACCTAAACGAAAATATGCAATTTAGTATGATAATAGAGTACTTCATTTAATAGAAAATATACCATAAATAATATAAAAATCCTTCGTCCATGAAATTAAGTTATATATTGATCAGTATTTTATGTTTATGTTATATATTGGTCACAAATTCAATGCATAATAACAAGATTAAAATTGGTCATTGATTTTAAATTACGTATAACCAGACTGGCTTCATTGACTATAGTTGTTAATAAAAGTTATAAATAAAATTCCACTGGTCTACAATAGAAAATGCCAAGGGGTGTATTAGAGCCATATTAGATACATTTAAAGGTGCTTATGCATAGCTAGAAATAATACCTTCCAATTTATTAACCTGTTTTTCTAGGTCAAGGACTGGCTATGAGAGGGCGATGGGACACAAAATCTACGATCTATGACGTGTTTCAGTCCATAATAATCGAGCTACACATGAAGAAGAATAACACTTTCAAATTTCTGCTTTCCTAATGAAATTTTCCCCACTCAATATCAAAAGATATTTCATTTGTAGGTAAAGAAAGTATGGGATATAACCAGTAAACTGAATATCTTACACGAGGCCAACTGGACAAGATTAGCCGATGAAATCTTTGAAGAATTTCAACAGTCAGTATATGTTGCTGTACAGAATGGCTGGGACGGACAAGATATCTTTGCAACAAAGGAAATCGAGGAAGAATGGAGTTTTGCTGGTTCACTGTTGTATTCAGTAACTGTTATAACTACAATTGGTTAGTATGTTTAGAGCTGCATGATAACAAGATAAAATTAGATAACAATTTCGTTTATTTTGTAATATTTTAAGTCTCTTGGGTAAATTTGTTTTTACCACAGTTCAAATGACGATAATTTTAACCAATCAAAGCACCCAAACAATATGACAGCGTCTTTTATTTTAGCTATCTCACTGCCATTGCTATCAAGAAACAAAGATCAAAGCGTGTCATGAAGGACCAAAGACATTACGTCATTAAAATGGGACTGCGTTGGAAAACTTGTTAGATTACAATGGAGACGAAAAATATCAGAAAAAGATATCAGATAGAAGATGTGAAGCTTGTAGGGGGTCGAAAAGAAATGTATCATTTTCATGGAAGACAGTGAATCCTCCAAGGTTTTGGAACCAGTCCTGCCCCTTTTTGTTATAAAATACCGCTCCAAACCATATACTCTTTAACGTGAGAAAGAGAAAACACTTACTTAATTACTTAAGTAAATTATAGGGAGAGTATGCCTTGTAGTATGTAACTACACTGATGATGACTTTAAAGGTAGAGGGCGGGACAAATTTCTAACCACTATACATGAGGATTGGATGACAATCCCTTGACAATTCTATAGACCTCACCCACAACTTAGTGGAGTTTCTATGCATCATAGACTGTATAATACCTACCTTGTGACGCGATTATCTCCATCATCAATAAGTCTAAAATGAATAATCTTTCAAACTTAATGGGTTTCATAATAATCATTGAGATCAATGAATGTTTCATTACATTTTGAATATTTAATATCCATCTACTTTTTTTTCAATTTGCCAACTCTATTATTTCCTGAAAGAATTATTATCATCAGTCATTACAAGAGAGACCTATTGTCTCAACTCTATAATTTAAAAGGGAAAAATAATTGAAATGATTTGAAAACTGTCATACATCGGAATCGGACACCAATCGATCATCTCATTTGCCGACTCAGGTGAAAATTCGAACGTAAAACTGCATTTAATTTTAGTATAATTCAAAAACAAGTCGAGAACTGTCATAATCATCTATTAGAGGTTAAATAATGGATAGCAAGTCTGACAAATAGTCTGATAGACTCTACCGCCATCAGAGGTAAATGTGAACCATTAGACAATTGGACATTGGACTGTTATAAATTTCACATCCATCTCAAGTTTTGGCATCACTATGCGACTAAGTACATAAATTATATTGTCAATCGCAATCACATGCAAATGTGAACCGACGGACATTAACTTAAATTGTTATAAAGTTCATATACTTCTAAAATTACGCATGATACAATGTACTTAGATTTCTAGATAAAAGGCTAAAATTGTGATATCTCATACCAGATCTCATTTGAACTTTAAGATCTGATATGAATATCTGAGACCTATAATTATTATAATATATGATTATAAATTACTTATAATTAGCATAGTTCAATGTATATCATTATGGTCAATAATATAGTGAAGTCCAACCTATAAAACGAACGGCCTTCAAGATTAAATATAAATAGGATGTATTTTATATTGGGTTTGTAGTCCGGGTTATGTATCTCCTCTTGTAGGTCACAATTTCTAGCCAAATCTCTGCATTGACAAACTTTCGTGGTCCATGTAAATTGTCTATTGGAGTCAATAAACGAAGTTCGTAATAGCTTGACATTGTGTAGATGCTAGTAGATATTTCCTTACATGACCAGTGGTATACTCTTCAAGCGCTGCCTGGAATGGTCCAAGCATCAATAGACGTAGTGTCCAGTGTTAGTTTGGAATAAAGAAAGCCTCAAAATTGCTCTGTATATCCACACATTTGTCAACTTTACACTAAAACACATTGATATGAAGAGAATGTTGCCCCCTTTATGTCCTATGGAAATTGAAGCATGGTTCTCATCGATACTATGTATGGACATATGGCAGCTCTTTATTAAATCGTTACAATATCTATTTATAAAGCTTGCAGCAGGTGAAGAGGTTCAATAATCAGATCATTTGTCATACACTGCCCTTTCATTGTAATGGCTGAACTAATGATATCTTAATAACACAATTACAAACTTATTTCATTTTCCTTTTGCCATTTAATATACCGGATGACCTATGATATTTCGAATGATAACCTATTTACAATTAGTTTAAGCTAACCTTATTATAGCCATGTGTAAGTGTTCATGTACACTTTCAAATTTTCATTTCAAATTGGACTCCTTTCATCAATCTAATCCATTTATCATCATCGCTACTACCAACACCATAATCATTATCACCTACAGCAGCTGATGTCGCAGCAACGGTCACAGCCATCGCCATCATTACCATCATCATCAAACACAATATTTACAAGTCATAATCATTATTCTTCCTTTGTATGCATCAGAATCATCAGTCATAATTTTTCAGCAACAGATCTATAACATAATTCATTCCTTTATGAATTCAGCAGCAGCAGCAAAATAATCATATTCCTTCCTTAATCACTATCACCATTCATTTGTCCTTCATCATAAGAGACATCTCCATCATAATCATTCATTACTTCTTTATCAGAAGAAGCATCATAATTCATTCGTGACTAGCAAAATCATCATCACTCTTCCTTTATTACTATTATAATTCATTCTTCAGTCGTTATTAGAAGCATCTCCTTCATCACCATTCATTATAGTTTTATCAGAAGAAGCATCACTATCATTCGTGACTAGCAAAATCATTATTACTCTTTATTTATTACTGTTATCATTCATTCTTCATTCATTATCAGAGGCATAACCATCATCATTATTCATTATTTCTTTATCAGAGGAAGCATCACTATTATAATTCATTCTTCATTCGTGACAAGAAAAATCACCATCATTGTTCCTTGAGTAATCTTTTCATACGTATCTCCTGCATCAGCAGTAACATCACCATTGTCGCTGACTGCAGCATCATCACCAAACTCAATAGCAGCTATAGCATTAATACAAACAATATTTTCTTTATATTGTAGGTTATGGTCACTTAACACCAAGAACAAATTGGGGACGTATCGTTACCATATTCTATGCTATAATTGGGATTCCACTTACTTTACTATGTTTATCTAACATTGGGTGCCTGCTGGCCAAGTTATTTCGGATTCTATGGAAACATACGCAGTGTAAACGATGCTGCAAGAAAGAAAATAATGAACCGGGAAGTGTTATAGAGAATCCTATAAATAAACCTTTAGTTCGAGGTCAAGGTTCACGTGACGTCATCAGTGACAGTGCTCATTATAATAACATTTTAGAAAACAGACGACATTCCGATATAATTCGCGTACCTATTCCAATTTGCCTCTGTTTATTAGCTCTGTACATTGGTCTAGGAGCTCTGCTCTTCAGACTCTGGGAACGTTCGTGGTCTTATATGGACGCATCTTACTTCTGTTTTGTGACATTGAGTACTATTGGTTTTGGTGATTTAGTGCCGGGCTACACTCACGAGTCGTGGGGTAACCAGTATAAACGCGTTGCTTGTACTTTATACCTGTTATTTGGACTGGTGGTTGTGGCTATGTGCTTCGATCTGATCCAAACAGAAGTTAGAGAAATCAGTAACAGGGTGGCTAAAAAATTAGGAATCGTTGACGATGATAAGACCTGTCCTGAACCAGTTTAAAACACAAAATAGTTCAATTAAAGAAAAGTGACTTGTGGATTTGATAATCATATGCATTAAGGCGGGACCAGCTAAAGTGCAAATGTTCATTATAAAATTCCAGGTACGTATCACGTGCTTACTTCAACATGGCGGCTTCCACGAACTCACTGTCTTCATCTCCTATTCCAGAAGAATGTTCGTGTATTGTAAGCAAGGACGACTGTTTGCTTTCTTTATGAATGGGACATACATTATCCATCTGGACGTCATATTGTTGAGTTCGAAAGCTCTGGTAACTTCGAGCGCCCCAGTCGCGATATACAGAGGATCAATCTACGCCGGGCTTTAGTGACATTGGCTGTCAAGTACTTTCACATTGAGCGACTTATCTTAAAGGCAAAACCAATTCATTTTAAAATCATTATTAAGATACAGATTATATTACAACAGTGTACTTTATTCTCTAATGATCTGATTAAAATGTGTTTTTTTATTTCTTGTTTCTGTGGGGTGTTACATTTGTCAGTTATGATTTGACAAAATCATTCTCGATCATTCTTCAATAAGAACCATTGCCATTGGTCGTAAGTCTAAGACGCATTGACATCACGTTTGTTTTTCTCCACTAATACAAAACGGTTCACTGTACGTTTGATAAGGACGTGTATTTATATCATATCCCAGTCACAAAATTGATGTATTTGCAAGATATTTTTCAGTTTTTTTTTATAATTACACTTGCCATCTATGATCTGTGAAAATCTTCAAATCTTGACCCAATAGCATCAAATTCTTTTGTGAGCCGTAGGTTTGCTATGAAAATTATTGAGTTAACATGGAATTTGGTATCATTGATCTAGATTTTATTCTTACTAATTAGATAATTTACCCATTCAAAGTAGTCGACCTGTGTATACAAGAAACACTTGTCGGCGGCAGCACAAGATAATATACAACAATAGCATACGAACATGCGGAGAAGCGAAGCAAGTACACAAGAAACTTCTGAGCAAAAATCTCGGTCAGAATTTACCTTGATATTTGACTTGAACTATACTAGCGATACTGACGTCATTATCTGATCAGGTTTTATCTTGGAGATCAGAATATACAGTGGTTGAGTTGAAAATGGTAATGAAGTAATATACCAGTAAATTCCATGGGAGTATTTTAATACAACTCTTCCCTAGCTTCTTCTAACCACATTGATTCTGTGTATAAACGTTTGTTCACATTACAAGCAGATAAGAATGGCACAGAGAAGTGCAGGAAAGTGCAGAGAAGGGTGTTACGGAGCAGTGCGGCCAGGCGTTCACTAGCAGAGCAGGGCGTCCTGAAATCGATCGTTCATTATGCAGGATTTCTTGAGTGTTTTTCTATGACTTCTTTGCCATGCTAATTGAACAGTGGACAACTGTTAACTGATATGAGTTACAGCTGAATTTCCGGAGTGCGCTCTGTTCCGCTCTAATCTGCGCCGCTCTATTGAGTGTCTGTACATTGAGAATTAACTAGACACGCTACTAACCGCCTTGTTCCCATCGCTCTACTCCGTTGGTAGTGGGATCTATCCCTCATAAATTAACGGACGAATGTGGCCAAAGTTTAAGATGATCTGAAAGTACTAAGGGAAATAAAAAAGATAGGTATCGCTCTATATTTTTGTTATCATCTGAAATAACAAGATAAGAAATCTATATTATATTATATTACTAGTTATAATAACAGTAAGGTCAATAAAAATGTTGCAGTTGATAATAATATTGGTCATGACAACTCGTGACTGAGAAACTAATAAATGTACTCAACCGTTAGAAGGAAACACACACCCGAGGCCTTGCTTGATAAACAAATTCAACAGATAGTTGGATTTTTGCAATGACCCAAAACACGGCCAAATTTACTACAATTCAAACTGCATTACGTGTCTTCACAATTAGCCCATTTTAAAATTCGGAGAACGGGATGAAGTTCTACTATAAACTGAATTCAAATTATAAGACCAAAATATTAACTTGGTCAAATTAGTCAACCCAACCGTTGCCCCGTTTGGCTTTAATTTCCCATTAATTGTACTAAATATCTCCAAAAATACAATACATGTATCTGTTAAATAGTATCTCTTTTTTTCAGGCCTGTCGTCTTTTGAAATGAACAAGAGCAACCAAAATATTGGACAAAATTTCATGCATAACAATTAAGTCAATACACGCTAGATAAGGTCGCAAGTACCTTCGTCAAAACGACGCAAGTTATTTATTAAAGTAATTGTTCTCCATAAAATTTTGTCTAGTTCTTTATTACCCAATTAAGGTGGGTTTATACAGAGCGCGAACGCGAACGCGACCGGCGCGACCGCGACCGGCGCGACCGCGACCGCGAACGCGACTTTTCATCAGTTCAGTCATTCAAATAGAGCGCGAACACGAACGCGGAAAACCGTCGACGGCTTTCAATGCGGATCGCCTCTTTTGTTGTTAAAATTTGGTCATATGGTCATTTTGGAATCATCTCTCCGATTCCCTTCCACATATCTTTCTTTTTTACTGTCTCTTTGTAAGTTTTTTCAGCTTTGTCAAACAAAACTGGATTCTTTTCAACTTCTAAAATCAAAACTTCCGTTTTATCCATTGTTTGTACCCTACAAGCAAATTGGAAAAGCCATGTGCACAAGTTTCTATTTTAGGAAATGATGCAAGGGAGGTGGTACAAGCTGATTGGTTGATAGCAAGAAATCCCCCGCGACTTTCTGAAAAATTCGCTCTTGGGGCAATCTCGGCGGTCGACCGCGCGAACAAATATTTGTTCGCGTTCGCGTTCGCATTCTATTTGAACGGTCCCTCTATAAAATGATGAAACCATTCCATGACGAAAAACCGCGTTCGCGTTCGCGTTCGCGCTCTGTATAAATGCACCTTAACTAAATGCCACGTAAGGAAACAACCAAAATATTGCCTCGAATGCATGTTTATTAATCTTGTATATTATGTAACGGAGTGATGCAGTCAATCTATATAAAAATATATAAAAAGATAATAACATAAAAGTGAAATGGTGAATATGCGATTCAAATATAAATAATTAGTTTATCAGATAAAATGATATTGATCTTTGATCTTTTCGGCCAGCCTCAATCAGGCGAGAAAATTCGTAATACCTTTTATTAGTACATTCAATATTATGTTTTTATTTGTTGATGACATTATCGACCTGAAAGCAGGACAGATAAGTTCTTGGTCCAAGTAATTTTCGGAATTACGATCGTAAGATGCGACTAAGAAGCATTGCTTTGGTCACATTGGTATCCTTGTCGTGTGTTTATGGACATTTTGTTGAAAGTTTTTCAATAGATGACACGGTAAGTATATTAAAAAAACATTGTGTGACTCTTCACTATTATTTTCAGTAGACCTCATGTTTGGTTAAACAGTGCTGATGGAGCTGAATTTCAGATATCCAAAATTGAGTCCAGTTCTCTTGCGCTTCAATAAACATGTTGGACTGATGGTTTTAGGCCATTCAATAACATTTTAGCGGGCAGTTATTTCAGATGTCATGACATATTAATAACTTTCAGGAAGTGACCATCGTCTAAATTCCAAATTTTATTATTGAAGATACATCAAATTATGATTCTGAAAAGCTGAAAACTTAATTGTGTTGCGGCAATTAAAAGTATCATTCATGAAAACAGAGAAAGAAAGACGATTTGGAGCTTCTAAGTTTGTCTAAGGATGCCCGTGTTCATTGACATAATGAATCGCTGATGAAGACGCATTTCATCATTGCATGATGTATGACCATGATCTTTATCATCAAAAGATTTTATCTGATTATGTTCAGAATTGGGAACACCATACAAATCAACCCTACAACTGGAATTCCGCAGTAACATGTGATGTATGTAAAGGTATCGTTCAAGAATTAAGATCTGCTATAGAAGCCAAGGCACCAAGAGAAACTCTTCTTAATATCAGCAACTTCTTCTGTGTCCATTTTAAAATAGAAGATGTTCGAGTTTGTAAACTTGTTATTGAGCAATATAAGGTAAATAATGATTTGTAAATCTTCCACATCGAGCCCTTGCTGCTGTTTTATTTTTGACTTTGGTTGTTTGAAAATTTAATTAAATGACTGAAAACTGACGCCGTACTTATAGTTGTAGGGACATGATCATCGATGACATCAGAAAAACAATCCCCGCTTTCGAACAGGACCAAATTGACAAAATACTATCCCCTAACCTTCCATTTGATCTTCGCGTATGAGCAACAAACTCACTAAGCAGTTATAATTCCTAGCTTTTATGTCTTGGGATTGAATTCAAACGCAAAACCCCAGCCTTACACTGCAGAGAGTATTCGAACGCATAGCCACAGCACTCTGGAATCACGTGGGAATAAGTGGATATCAGAAGATGTGAGAGCAATGTTGTCAAATTGGCCAGATTACAGCTTCTTTTGCCTATGAGGGGACGTTCAAATTTTATGTCTATTTCTACCAGGATGTTGTATTTGGAGTAATAGAACAATCTTTATTAAGTCCTGATGAAATCTGTGCTCAGCTTATACCTGATGATGATTGTGGTGTACCATATAATCCTAAAGCTCGGTGGAATGTTACCCTATCTAAAACACCTAAACCACCAGTAAAACCTACACCATATCCAAAGGTAAGTGCCGATGGATCCGTGGTTATAATTCTATATACGGAACTGAAATCTGTAATGATGTAGTGACTGTCTGAAATGCACTGAGAGCAGTAGAGCGCAAAATACGTTTCCCGCTGGTTTCTGTTGCAAGAAAACTTTGATTCGTCCCTGTTGGGTATTATGATATTTGACCAAGAAACTGTGATGTTGTTGATTTCCAAAATTCAATAGGATGATAATTGTCATATTTTCAGCCTGGTTCTCCAACGATGAAAATTCTACTCCTAACAGATATGCATCTAGATCTGGACTATCAAGTTGGAAGCAACGCTGATTGCCAGGAACCATTATGTTGTCGAGTCAATGATGGTACACCAGGTATGTCTTATGAATGTTGGTTTGATGTGGCAGTTGGACTTAATTATAGAGAAATATTCCAACAAAGTAGCCGGTTTAATTCTAGCTATGATTATCATAGCCTCTGTCTGTGGTAACAGAAAGAAATCTTTGTTACCAAACCGATGAAAGACCAATTTAAAGTTCCGTACATGATTTTGTACGACCGTCTTGTATCCTTATTTCCTTTTTAGAATTTTAAAGCCATTTCAATATTTGTATCTAAATTTTAAATATCGAAACATCTTTAAAAACTATGAATTCCAATCAGACAAGTGATAAAATTGGCGTCTGTAATTTTGGAGAATATTTTATTCAGTGTAAAAGGGTAAAATAAGACTATTGAAAAACACTCTCTTAACCATCAGATGTAATGATTTTTAATATGAAAAAAGTGAAAAGTTTTAAAGATCAATTTAAATGATAATTTGTCAGTAATTCCTTCAAAATATATCACAAACTAGGATTTTCACTTTCTATTTCTATGTCTTTTCTATATATGGCAAGAAAAGATGAATCGTCATTTTAATATGCAAACGCGGATAATTCTTGATACACAGTGATTTGAAGGCTAAAATTTCGACGGTTAACTTAAAAAATCCCGTTTCTGAGTATAAAGTATGATTGGTCAAACAGATGGTGAACTTGTCTTTTTAACCATTTAAACTTGTAATTTCAGCACCCGATAAGAAAGGCGCTGGTTTTTGGGGAGATTATAGACATTGTGATCTATCACCTCATATGTTCTATAATATGATGGAATATCTGAAATCTATTCAAGATCAGGTACGCTTAAAGATTGGTCACTTAATTTCCAATATATAGAGTCTTTCAAGTCAGGTTTACAATGCTTTCTTGTTGAAATTCCAGTAAAAACATGTCCCCAGAGCATATTGTGCTTGTTTTCATAAGGAAAGGCATAGTAATCAGTTATTGATTTTAGCATTTTGATTTAATAGAAATATTTAATAGTGTTAGGCTACCAGCAGAAGAAAGTGTTCTTTTTAAATTAGAATCCAACGTCCAGATCTCCTGCAATTCAAACCTTTCTGTGGGACAGTTAAAATTTAATAATGTCCCCGAAGTGACGATAACAATTGCGCCATTTGATTTTTTGGAGAATAGGATGCTGGCTCGTATGAGGTCAGCTGATAGAAAGGTTACTTGCACTTTTAGCATTAAATGGATAATGTGTCTTTTTTCATGGTCTTAAGTGCACCAACAACAATAACTTTTCATTTTAGTTTGATATGATATATTTTACTGGAGATATACCAGCCCATAATATATGGAACCAAACCCGAGTAGACCAATTAGTCCGAATGAGAACCTTTATTAGTGCTATAGAGAAATATTTACCAGATAAACCTATTTATTTTGCTGCTGGGAATCATGAAAGTTCTCCATGTAACATGTAAGTTCAATAATTAATATGACATTCAGTCCACCAGGAGATATTGCTTTCCCCGAAGTCATTTTACAATGGTTAATTTTAGGCTCTTGAGTCTTAAGTACTAAAAATGTTTTGAATATACCCCAATTTGGATGCAGCCAGCATAGAATTGTCTTATACTATATAGGGAAATGGATTCTGAAACATCAACCATTGAAGGGCAAGATGCGCCATTTTTTTTAACCAATCATACATTAGTGTCAGAAACGGTAACTAAGTCAATTAGTAATAGTGTTCACATCTAACAGTCGAAATTTGATCCTTCAAATCCATGTGTGCCACGAATTATCCGCGTTTGGATGTTAAAATGCCGCATCTTCCCTTATAAGCATTTGACATAGCAAACTTGTATGAATGGTCGCCATTATTCACAGTAGTCGTTCGATGAACGACAAGTTAAAGGGACAGATTCGCCATTCGCTTGACCAATTGTTACGGCTAAGCTAATCAGTAATAGTGTTCACTGCTCACCGTCGAAATTTGAGCCTCAAGTTCATGAGTGTCCTGAATTTTTCGACATTAAAGAAGGGGCATGCAAAGATACTTTTCTAGAAAATAATAAAGACTAATGTAAATAAGGTTTTTCTTAATTCTGCTAAATTCTATATTACAATGATGATAGCCTAAACATCTTATTTCAGATATGCACCACCATTTGTAAAAGGCAATATGTCACAAGATTGGTTATACGGGGCTTTTGCTGAGGTTTGGACAAAATGGATGCCACTTGATACTATAGATACTATTCTAAAGTAAGTCTGTGACAATATTTCTGAAACTTTCTTAAAAACAAAATACTGAAGAGTACTTTTGAAAATGCCAATATGAAGAAACAGAATAACAACTACGCGAGGTCGTCTTTCTCTAGGATCTTGTCTACCGGCTTGTTCTTGGTCAAACCTCTTTACCGGATTATACTATTATAGTAGATCTAGACTAGAACCGTAGACATAACTGGCACAGTGCATTTATTTGGTGTGTTATTCCATCTGTTAGGAACTGTCCAATGTCCAGTTACAGTTGACGAACATAGTACTCTTTTCTTTCAGGGGAGGCTACTATACTGTATCACCATTCCCGGGATTACGAATCGTTTCTATCAATTCAAATTATGGAACAACTGACAACTGGTAAGTAGGATCTTTTGGTGTCTTGCTTTTCTTTGTAATCTTATCTTTTGTAAGAGTAGTGAGCGGACCCTTTTTAAAGGATATCAATAGTACGTCATTTGGTATGACTGCTCTAGTAACCTTGATACAACCTGAACAGTAACAAAAGCAAAAATATCTCTGAACATCCGTTGTTACCGGAATATGTCAGGGGCATTGTAGGCTACATGGAAGTGATTTGTTATAATTTGATCAAAAATGCAGCTTTGGATATCGATGTTTAAATGAGATTTGAAATGAAAAATGCCCTTGTTTTTGGGCCCCCTGATAAATACAAAGTTGACAGAATCTATTTCAAGTTTTATATAGATAATGTTTATATTAGGTGGTTATTGGTAAACAATACAGATCCAGCAGGTCAGTTACAATGGCTATCAGATGTTTTACAACAAGCAGAAGATAATAATGAAATGGTTCACATCTTGATGCATCATCCTGCCAAACATGAACAGGTTAAACAATGGTCGTGGAATTTTTATACTCTCATTAATAGGTATGTCAACACTTGTGGGTTTTTCATAGAAATTCGGATGCGATGTAATAAATCAGGAACACTCTGTTGGTGATTCTTTAATGCACAAACCGTAACGGCGCATTTCGCTAGCATGATGCTTCAAGATTTGATTCCGACACAGATTGAGGCATTGGCGCTGGGTGGTTGATTTTAAACCCCAAAATGAGTTCTGTATCAGTGCACGTTTAAGAATCCTCAAGAGTTAATGGATTAACAACTGTTTACAAGTAAAGCAGTTAACATGAAAACTTACTCGATCCGTAAGGGACTTACTAAACTTAGCCAAATTATTCGATCTTCTTTGCGCAAAGGAATTATCAATGAAGAATTTGTTGTTACAATGTACTAGTTTCTATAAAAAAAAAATGTTATTTCACTTGCTAAGCATTATGTAACACAATTTTTTTTCAGATATGAAAATATAATCAAAGCTCATTTCAATGGTCATAGCCATGATGATTTTTTCAATGTTATATATGATAGTGAAAATGCTAGTAGACCTATTGGTGTAGGCTATGTACCAGGTAGTGGTACAACCTACAATAACCTAAATCCTGGCTTCAGGATTTATACCGTGGATGGCAACTATACTGGTAGTACTTGGGTAGGTTTATATTTTAAACAGTCTAGTACGAATCTTGGAAACTTTTTTACTTTTATTGAAACAGCACAATCATTTTACAGATGGCCCTTGTGATTTGCAATAGATCTTCGTTGACGAAACATAAACATGGCTTTGGACCAGGATGTGAAAATCCGTTTGTGAAGCGGATATATTTGATGATGGGTCAAACTGGTGTAATTGATGATCAGAATTAATCTTGATTTATCAAAGTAAAAATTTTACCTTTATCATACAAGACGCTATGTCCTTAACCAATTCTGATCATCCGCAAATGCACAAATTGGTTTTGATACAGTCGCAAATGTTAACAGGCATGTGATTAAATATGATTTAGTATTAAACGAGAAGCATATTGGCTTGGCCAGGGTAGATTTATAATGGTGCGAAGTCTCCCAATATAATATGATAGCAGAACCGATAAAAATCTATGGATTCAAATTGTTTTGAAATGATTATTTTTTCGTATCAGGCGCCGTTAGATTGGGATAATTATGTAGCAGAAATATCTAAGTCCAGTGCTGAAACGCCACCAGCTTGGGTCAAAGAATATTCACCAAGGGTAACTATATCTAAATTTCTCCTTTCTGGATAATTTCTTCTTTCTCTAATCACTCTTAGTTAAACAAACTCGAAATACGACGCCTGGTTGTGTACGACTTAACACAAGTTACTGTGCAAACGTCACTAACCATTCTGCAAGTACCTATAACATGGTATCAATGCCGACAAAAAATTGGTATATTCGTCAGCTCCCTCCATTATGAATTGTTGTTGGCATTCTGGAAAGAACTATGAAAAGCTGAACATGCCTTTAAAGTTTTCAACATGTTCCCTTAAAGACAACCCTTTCAGGTTTTTTTTTACGATATTTTGAAATTATATTCTTGTCTTTTAGTCAGCTTATGGACTGAAAAGTTTAAATCCTAGTGAATGGGATGATCTCATCAATAGAATGAATAAAAACGATACTCTCTTCCAATCCTTTCTCACGTAAGATTAATTTACTAATACCAAATATGGATTTTTGTGGAGAGAATTAAATAAGAGTGAATATTCCCAGAACATCGCTGATAAACCCTTAATCATACCATTCTATTGTATGATTATCTAAATGACATATCTGATTGGCTGAACTCATGAAATTTACTAAGGCAGTCAATCAGTTTTCTTAAAAGATTTTTTCTTTCATCCATCATTTCATTTCATATTTTGCTGATCTTTAACGTTTATTTTCAGGTTCCGTTACAAGCTAGCGACACATGGACCATGTAAAGGTGGGTGTGTGGCCAGTACTCTCTGTGATTTAAAAACTTCTCGAACCAACTCTCCAGATTTATGTAAAGATCTTTATTAATAAAATATGTTACTTTCTGTCACTCTCATTGGAATTTTTACCCTGAATGCAATTAATTATGGACAGCTAACGACTACAGCATGCAAAGTCCATTATCACTAGTATTGCCGATTACGTCATATTGAACTGCATTAAGACAATGTTAATAACGACGTTGAAGTGCGTAGGCAACATACATGAACGTACATGAATAGACCAGAAGTGACCAATAAACTTCCAAAGAAAACGTGAACGATCAGGAACCTAGGTCGTTTCCTGGTCGTTCCATGTTTTCTTAGGTCGTTTCGGTACATTTCTGGTCGGTTCATGTTTTAGTAAGTATGGCAACTGTCGTTTTTAAGTCCTTGATGCGCCCAGGTGCACGACTAAATCCAATGATTGATCAGATTCTCTCGCATACCGCCTGTTGCTAGGTGTTGGTGGAATACCAGTTGTTGACAGATTCTGCCAGTAGCAAGGTCGACCTAAGCCCCATTTAAGGTTTTCAATTCAAGTCTTCTGATTGATTTAAAGTTTATTTACAATATAATATAAATATAGTTATTTCTTATCACCTAAATCATTGATAGAATCTTCATCAATCTGTAATGTAACAAATAAAAAATTACATAGAGTTTAACTTCTCGTCATGAAGGAAATTATATATTAATACTTTGAAGGAATACTACGTCTTAGAATGAACATAAAATTTTAAAAATATAAACTTGGCCAATATCACATTCTTCAGTAGTACCTGGTGTCATAAATAACATTATAAGATCCTTATATAATACGATACATCCAAAAAACTTAGTAATTATCCATAAACATGTAATTAACAATATTAACATTAAGCGTTTTTCCAATAATTACTTAGTTTATGAATTTTCCAATTTTCCGGATTTTACAGGGATTTTGTTGTAACTTGTGTAATTTTATTGATGAATATATACTCATATTGACTATTCTTGAGAATTAAATTTTATGTTCATTGTAAGACGAAGTACCACTTTAACCATTTGACAGATCTAACGTTTCGCTTATTCCAGGAAATTCAAAGGGGGCTTTTCTATACCCTGTATGTGTATTTTGGACACTATCGTTCACAAAATTACACTTTCTCATTCTAAGATTCCAGAAAAAAAAACACTAGTTATGATTTGATTCGCAACTCTTTGACCATTTCCTGTCCTATTTTTTTATTTTGTGAGTTGGTACCTTCTCTTGTTCTTGCACTGGAATCATAATGTCCATAGAAGTGTCTTTTTGTTCATTATTATAAAGCGCTTGATTAGGAAGTGGAAATCAAATTGGTACTAGGCCTTATGAAATTAATTTTCAACTAACCTGAGGCCATTTTTCAGGAAGAATATCAAATAGATCATCTTTCACATCACCCTGTATGACAATTTCACCACTGTCATTGGCACTTGCACCACAGGAAAACTTATTGGCAAAAAATTTACTGGCAACTTTTAAATCTATATCTGAAATTAATGAAACGTTTACGTTTACATTCCACCAGACACCATCATGTCCTCATGGAAAAGTAAAATCTAGGGAACAAATCAAATTTGAGAAATGTATGAATGGTGATAAAATAAATTCTGTGGGTTTTAGTTAATTTTTAATTCCGATAGACATGTAAAATCTAACAGATAAGTTAGGTCTGATAGACAAGTAAAATCTACTTATAGATATGTTAATTCTGATAGACAAGTCAAATCTAACAGATAAGTTAGATCTGATAGACAAGTAAAATCTAACATAAAATTAAATCTGATAGACAAGTAAAATCTAACAGACAGGTTAATTCTGATAGACAAGTAAATCTAACAGATAAGTTAATTCTGATAGACAAGTAAACTTTAACAGCTATGTTAATTCTGATAGACATGTAAAATCTAAAAAGATAGGTTAATTCTGACAGACAAGTAAAATCTAACAGATAAGTTAATTCTGATAGACAAGTAAAATCTAATAGATAAGTTAGGTCTGAAAGACAAGTAAAATCTAACAGATAAGTCAAGTTTGATAGACAAGTAAAATCTAACAGTTAAGTTAGGTCTGATAGACAAGTAAAATCTAACAGTTAAGTTAGGTCTGATAGACAAGTAAAATCTAACAGATAAGTTAAGTCTGATAGACAAGTAAAAATCTGATTGACAAAATTTGCATTTAACTTATATCATACACTTTTGGAAACAGCCTGTCTGAATGAATTCAATGAATCTGTAAAGTCTTACCATAATCTGCTAAACCCACAAGAGTTGTAATCTTTTTCTTCTTCCCTCGAGATTGTGTCCACATTTTAATACCTTTAGGTTCAGCTTTTTTCTTAGCTTTTAACATTCCCTTCCCACCTCTAGTCTGTCTTTTCTTTTTATCATCTGCATCGTCTTTCTCACCATCTCCATCACCTAGAAATATATTCATATACAATTATCATTCTCACAATCACCATCACCTAGAAATATATTCATATACAATTATCATTCTCACAATCACCATCACCTAGAAATATATTCATATACAATTATCATTCTCACCATCTCCATCACCTAGAAATATATTCATATACAATTATCATTCTCACCATCTCCATCACCTAGAAATATATTCATATACAATTATCATTCTCACAATCACCATCTCCTAGAAAAATATTTATATACAATTATCTTTCTCATCATCAACATCTCCTAGAAAAATATTCATATACAATTATCTTTATCACAATCACCATCACCTAGAAAAATATTTATATACAATTATCTTTCTCATCATCAACATCTCCTAGAAAAATATTCATATACAATTATCTTTATCACAATCACCATCACCTAGAAAAATAATCATATACGATTAACATTCTCACCATTAACGTCTTCTAGAAAAATATTCATATACAATTATCTTTTCTCACAATCCCCATCACCTAGAAAAATATTCATATACAATTATCTTTCTCAACATCACCATCACCTAGAAATATATTCATCACAATTATCATTCTCACAATCACCATCACCTAGAAAAATATTTATATACAATTATCTTTCTCATCATCAACATCTCCTAGAAAAATATTCATATACAATTATCTTTATCACAATCACCATCACCTAGAAAAATAATCATATACGATTAACATTCTCACCATCAACGTCTTCTAGAAAAATATTCATATACAATTATCTTTTCTCACAATCCCCATCACCTAGAAAAATATTCATATACAATTATCTCTCTCACAATCACTATCACCTAGAAAAATATTCATATACAATTATCTTTATCACAATCACCATCACCTAGAAAAATAATCATATACGATTAACATTCTCACCATCAACGTCTTCTAGAAAAATATTCATATACAATTATCTTTTCTCACAATCCCCATCACCTAGAAAAATATTCATATACAATTATCTCTCTCACAATCACCATCAACGTCACCTAGAAATACATTCATATATAATTATCTTTCTCACAATCACCATCAACGTCTTCTAGAAATATATTCATGTATAATTATCTCTCTCACAATCACCATCAACATCTTCTAGAAATATATTCATTTACATTTATCTTTATCATTATCACCATCACCTAGAAATATATTTATATAAAATTATCTTTCTCAACATCACCATCACCTAGAAAATAATCATATACATGTATCACAAAAATTATCATCTTTTTCACCATCACCATCTTCTAGAAAAATAGCAATATCACCTTCAGTTAGCATCCCCAATCACCTAGAACAATAACTGTATGTCATCACTGTTTCGTAGAAAAATTTCATGTCATCAACTTTATTTCATACTATAATCATAATTCTCAGGCCAATTTCAGTGCTTGATTAAAATCAGAACAAAAATATGAAGTCAGCAAATTTTACAGGATTATATCAGTTAAGCCTAATGAAATCTTATGTTAATTACCTGTGGTCAACTTTTGAAATTCTTGTGGTAGATGTCTTTCTAGCCATTCTTTACATTTTTCATAGTTAGGATAATATTCACAATACTGCAGAGATAAATACAATTATCAAATATACAATAATGAACTTCATATAATGAATCATATTTTTTTTTCAAATTTGGAAACATAACCATTTAAATCTTGAATTTTTGTCAGTTGATATTTGGCGGTCTAGATTATATTCAGCTGTGAAAAGACACCTATTACCTCCCTTTTTTAAGAAATGTAGGAATTATTCATGGGAATCCCGTCTTAGCTAATTAGCTTATAAAGATTATGGACTGTTTTTTTTTTTTGCAATCATTAGAACATCTGTTTTTTTTTATACTCAGCCTTCTAAAAACTGAATTTAAAAGCCATTAAATGAATACTTGAAATGGGGTAACCCATCTTTATAATTGTAAAAGCTCACCTCTATAGGCATGGTACATTCTGAAATAAAAAAAATATCATAACATCACACAAATAAAAGTACGGTAACTAAATATTCGATCTACTGACAAGGAATGTATGAATGCAGAAGTCTAAGCATTTATCTCAAACTCTTGATTTGTCATAATTTGCATCAAAAGTTCAATTGACTCAAATTAGCCATAATAAGAGGCTTCTGAATATGTTTTAAATGTTATATATGGGATCTGAATTAATTCTTTCGCAAGTATAAGTTAACATTTATTGTTGTCTGTTGGTCCTACCTGTTGATTGCAAAGAGATATGGACAGGTAAAATTTAGCCTTATCAAATATTAAGAGTATCCCTTATGATTCCTCAATTCTGGTTGCCAGTTGTGTTGATTTAAATTTAATACAAACCTCCACAATATAAAACTTGTATAGGATATGTTACTCCATCCTTTGGACCACTGTATTCTAAAAATGGTTTCTCTACATCAGCACTTGCCATGATGGTTTCGTGCCTTACTCTATCTGAACAAAAAAAAATTTGATTTGAACAATTCAGCCTTTAGAACTTTTACTTTTTGTAGTGTCATAGGTTTACAACATCATCATGATCATGTATCATATAGCCTATCTATCCAAAGAAAGTAACATGATGTTTTGGCATGTCTCCATGAATGCTAGTCCGAAATATCTGTCCCTATTCCAGCCTCTGATGGATATTTTGGCAGTTGTCGACTGGAGTCAGAAGAAAAAGGTCCTGTTAAAAGGGGATTTTCAACACCTACAGAGATGCATTTTTTCTAACATAATATTAGAATACCTTTAAAATGACTCTAACCTAAATAAGTGTTAGGCATTACTGGTACGGTACCAAAACTTTCGTAGTATCACGTATGTGACTTTTGACCTTTGGCTGCACACACAGTTCTAAAATGCTAGGTGAGATCAGTTTCTTCAAAAAAATACTATGAAACCATAGATATGAAAGACATGGTGTAGGGAGATAATATGGAACCATAGATATGAAAGAGATGGTGTAGGGGAAAAATGATGATAAGACAAAATCAAAAACAACAAAAATATTCATCTTTCCAAATATATCTTGGTTTTGCAGATCTGAGGCACCTACGGAATGTTTCCATTTAAAAAAGCTATTTTTTTCTGTCTATATACAGTAGCCGACTAGCCAAATCCAAATAACTATCAGAGCCAGAGGCTAGAATAGAGACAAATGTTTCGGTCTACATGAATGTAAGGTGTCATATACGTTCAGTTTTAGATTCTTACATGTACTCTAAATAGATAACACGCAGAATCAATTAAATAGATCTTAATTATAAAAATCGGGCTGTTAAATCTGTCAATAAAAACTCACGTTGTTGATGTTTATAATAAACCGGAAACTGCTTTCACGGCCCCTTCGTTTTATACAGTTTACTGTCAACGACATACATACGAAATAATCCGAAATCAGAACAAGATGTGTTCTTCATCTGCGCTGGGTTTTAGATATTTTGGTTACGAAAGTAACTTACCAGTTTAAGAGTCATTCAAAGACTTTAGTTTTAGAGTCAGTAAGAGGCATTTCAGACACAAATACTCCAGATACTATTTTGAAGTGTACGGCCATACGAAGTTTCGGTGAAAGGAAGTTTATTTACCAACTAACCAACTGGAAAACATTATGTCTAACTAGATCTTTTATGGCCATTTGTATCAGAAATAGAATTAGAATTTTAAACATTTAATAAAATGTATCGGATTATTTGTTGGTGGTCGCCCTGGTTAACCTAGTGATTTCAGTCTAACGATACACGCGACACCTAGCGGCTACTATCTGTTTAATAGTATCTATGAAGTTTTCAATGAACCCACTTCGCATCGATTTTTATAAAGTTTGACATGGATTTACAACAAACGGATCCGGAGATATGGCCTAGTGATTCTCAGGAATCAAATTATGCACCAGTTATTATATTAGTGTCAACAATTTTGTTTTTCGTCTTTAGTAAAGTGTCTTTATTTTTGACACCAAACAAGGTGTTATCGCTTTCGACAGTGTCATCGCCCCATTTAATTTGGAGATGGAAAAACATAACCGTGTCGTTGGTGCACGCCCTGATAAGTAGTTGTTGGGCAGTGTATTGGTGAGTTGAAATTTCATTCAAATTTTCATTTTCTTGTCCAGGATTATTTATTAGGTCCACTGACAATACTGACAAATATTTTGGGAAATTTTATGGAAGAAATGGGAAAGCCTCATTTTATTTTGTATTTTGTGGGAAAATTGCATAATCTGGGTCATTTGTATATTTGAGAATTTCATCGCCTAATGATGTTATGATTATATTTATTGTAGTTTTTATAAGTCACCTAAATTGGCAGAAGACTTAATTAGTACCTACACGGTGTTATCTCATTCATTAGTAGCTGTATCTATGGGTAAGTTGTGTTATCTAATTGTTTGTGACCTAATTTTTCACACTGTTATATAAGCACATGTGTGGTCACGTGAGATTTGTTTACATCATGTGACATCATTCCTTGTACCCTCTTTAATTTTTTGATAGTTGATTTCTCTTTAGCCTGGATCTAACTGTCAGTGTCACATGCTTGTTTTAATTTATCTTAAACGTTTTTATTTCAAGATTTGTCTGTCTGCATAACATAATGTCAGTTTGCAAGTCATTTTTATATATATTTGATTGCAGCCCAACCCTATTACAAACAGATAAATGTCTCTTTCTCTAGGCCTACCTGTCAGTGATGCAGGTGCTGTCATGTCAGAAGTGTCTTCTTTAAGACCAAATTGTTTTTCATTGGCCTACACTCTGACTACATTGAGCTTTGAATTGAATTTTCTCTCCCATTTCTTAAATAGGGTCCATTCAAAATGAAATTTTCAACTTTATCCCTTTTGTCTTTGAATATTTTGTTTGGTGATTTTACATTTAAAATAGACACACTATCCTCCCAGAAAATTCATGAGAAAATGACCTACTTTTGAGACTGAAAATTCCCTTCTGTAAAATCATGTTTACAAATAATAACTTTTAGTTAATATTTTCATCAACCCAAAAACAATCAAAGACTCTTGTAGTATTTCATAATTGATAATTCAATTTATATGAAAATAATTGCCAAATTTCAATTCAGTGTAGTCATAGATTAAATACACTGAAATATCAGTTCTGCTTGTCTTAGCTGAAACTCACCAATCTTAGCTGATATATGCTAAAAATAGAATGCACATCATAACTCTCACAACATTGTGATATGTTAAACTATTAGGTTATTTTGATAGCTTATATTTTTTTTTCAGGTTATTTTATTTATGTTAAGTTATATTTCCAGGTTTTAATATATGTTATTTTTAAGTTATTTTATTAATTATGTATGTTATAATTCCTAGTCATTTTATTTATGATGTAAGCTTATGTGATATGTTATTTTTTAAGTTATTTTATTAATGATGTTATCTGTTAAAATTCCAGGTTATTTTATTTATGATGTAAGCTTATGTGATATGTTTTTTTTGAGTTATTTTATTAATGATGTTATCTGTTAAAATTCCAGGTTATTTTATTTATGATGTAAGCTTATGTGATATGTTTTTTTTGAGTTATTTTATTAATGATGTTATCTGTTAAAATTCCAGGTTATTTTATTTATGATGTAAGCTTATGTGATATGTTTTTTTTGAGTTATTTTATTAATGATGTTATCTGTTAAAATTCCAGGTTATTTTATTTATGATGTAAGCTTATGTGATATGTTTTTTTTGAGTTATTTTATTAATGATGTTATCTGTTAAAATTCCAGGTTATTTTATTTATGATGTAAGCTTATGTGATATGTTATTTTTTAAGTTATTTTATTAATGATGTTATCTGTTAAAATTCCAGGTTATTTTATTTATGATGTAAGCTTATGTGATATGTTTTTTTTGAGTTATTTCATTAATAATGTATGTTATATTTTCAGGTTATTTTATTGATAATGTATCTTATAATATGTTTCAGGTTATTTTAGTAATGATGTTATATGTTATAATTCCAGGTTATTTTATTTATGATGGAAGTGATATGTTATTTTTTAAGTTAATTTACTAATAATATATGTTATATTTTCAGGTTATTGTATTTAAATTGTTTGTTATAATTCCAGGTTATTTTATTTATGATGTATGTGGTATGCTACTTTTTAACTTATTTTATTAATAATATATGTTATATTTTCAGGTTATTTTATTTATGATGTTGTTATATTTTCAGGTTATTTTATCAATAATGTATGTTAAATTTTCTTTTATTGCTTTTTTTATGATGTTATATTTTCAGGTTATTTTCTTAATGATGCTCTATGTTATGATATGTTTCAGGTTATTTATATATAGTGTTATATGTTTCAGGTTATTTTATTTATGATGTATGTGATATGTTAGTATATCAAAGAACAAGACAATCATTAGAACTTTTAGGCCATCATGCTGTGGTAAGTAGTATTATATATATAAATCATCTTAATCATCAAATGTTCCCAGAGGTGATAAAGCCAAATTTCACCCATTAGATCAATTTTCAAAATTAAAATTTGATGAGTTTCTTGGCTTCACTTCTCACATTACACATTTCACAACAGTAACTGTGTTCATTAGCCCAATCATGTGTGAATAGAAAAGGAAGATGAGAGATTTCATTTTATTTTGCCATAATTGATCTAATTTTATTCACTCCACTGATTTAAATACTTGTGCTAGTTTCCAATAATTTGTATTAAAGGATTTCATTTAAAGACTCACCTGGTTGTCATGGTAACATAAAGCTTGGACATTACCACTGACAATACAAGAATTCTTATCAATAAGCCTTATGTTTATAATATGACTTTCAATGGACTATAGGCTTCAAGGACAAAAGTGAATTAATATGATGATCTTAACAGCTCTTAAAAATTTATCTAACTAGTAATGTATACACTGAGACACAATAAATCTTGCACTTTGAATTAACAACATTAGTTCTTCCATAGTAATGCATTTGGATTGCAGAGTTGACATACTTAGTGGCAATAGGTGTGCAAGCGACAAAGTAGCAGAGCTCAATTCTCAAAAAAAAATTTTAATCAAAGGCTGCCTAAAAAGTATATTTAAAAGAAAAAAAAAGGAAAGAAACAACTATATTTTACAAGGATAACAACTTCGGTTTACAGTTGAGGATCCTTTCATACCATTACTCATAACATTAAAGATGTCTATTTCAAATTTCTAGTTTCGTTACTAGATAATGCTATTAGTTACTCTATATTTTATATAATGGTGATTATCATGTATATATCAAGTGCTAATACAGACAAGATGCAGTGTTCTGTGAAATGAAATTAATTTGGATTTAACGTCCTACTTTTCTACACCTGCTTCAGATTGGGCTATTGAAGACAGACAATCTCATGCAGTTTGCAATCACAGAAAATTTACGACAGACAGCAGCAGTAGTGTACTTTTTTTCAATTGTCATTTGTTGAATGATCTATGTCCATTGTCCAATAGAGACTAGATGCTTTATCTCATGTCAGCTCCTTTGACCTGACAGGGAATACTGGTTTGAACTCTGGATGTTAGGGTTGATAAGCTTCTAACTCATATTGAAGAAGCCAATTGTGTCTTGACCTGTCTCTCTTATATGTAAGAAAATGTAAGAAGAAAATTACAGGTCGGACATAGTTGTTTTTTTTTTTCACTGTGTTAAAAGCTTGGTCCCAAACCGAAATTCTAAACCCTCAGAACACTCAAATCCTACCCTCAAATATTAGAAATGGGGTAGCTAAGAGGTATTGAGACAAATTTCAATTAATTTTAAAGGAAGGAAAATTTTGGACTCCCACCTTAAACAAACTATGGCTTTATGATTAGCTAGATATGGTTAAAAGCTCATTCTTGATATCTCGTAAGACATTTTGAAGGATATGGGGTTATAAGATAAGCAAATATTGACCATGTTGTGTTATCAAAGTTGACAGTGACCTCTGACCCTTGAGGTGAAAGGTCGATGTATCTTGTGTAATGATTTATTATAAAAGATAAACTAGAATGAAATGAGTGAAATTTTATCATTGGTTTTGGATAAGAATGCTTATCATGGATAGATAATTTGTATAATTTATGTAACTGAAGGTAGACTTAGACCTTGAGATAATCATATTATTTTACTGTTGTCTGAATTCTGCTTTACAAGCTGGTAACGTCTTAGACAGAGCTTGTAGCACAAAAGTTACATTTAGTTTCGCGGAAGATAACTTGCTTAATTCCAAGTGAGAGATTCCCTGTGATTAACCTGAACTGGTCATGAGGACTGAGGGAATTTTAAGTTGGAAAACCCAGTCTCAGAGAGGTACAGGTGTTCTAAAAGAGTACAGTAATAGTAATGGAACTTTGATTAAGTTTCTGCATTTATACTTATATGCTGCACACACAATCCTATACTATATGAATTGACTTAAAACCCATTTACAATCCTTTAAAGGGACACTATTACCAGATGGGCTAAGCTAAAAAAAATTCCTGTTTCTGAGACTAAAGTATGAATTGTCAAAAAAATCGCACATCTGTCCCTTTAAGATTATAATAGTAAGCTTATATATGTACTAAGTACTGGTACTTGACTAATTTTGTTGTATATTTCAGATATTGGTAGCCTTTTCAATCAGCGTATTTACCAGGTTATATGTTGGTTATGCTCTAGTTAGTCTATTGGTTGAATTAAACAGTATCTTTTTACACTCCAGGCAGTTAATGCAAATATATGGGTTTGCTAAAAATAATTGTTTTTATCGTTTAAATAGTGTTACTAATTTAGGTAAGTTTATACTATATTTTATTTCAAATCACAGGGAAACACTTTTCTGGCATTAATTTAGGGTGGCCAATCTATGAATTCATCCAGGATAACATTTTTATACGCCCACATCTCTCTATGTGGACGTAAATTGTCGGCACCCCTGTTCGTCCGTCCGTCCGTCAACATTTGCTTGTAAACGCTCTAAAAACTAGATTTTTTTGATGGAATCAAATGAAATTCGGTATGTGTATACATATTCATAAAACAAAGATCAAGTTCGAATATGAGCTATTTTTGACCATTAGAAGCAGAGTTATTGCCCTTGCCACATAATCTTGAATATGCTATTACTCTCTTAGTTTTCAACCGATTTTGATGAAACTTAAAATGGATGTTTCGTTTTTCAATCCGCATGCCGTGAAGGGTGTATATGGCTGAGGTCCACTATCTTTGGTTTTACAATGATTTGACTATGTAATATTGATCTTAAATCACTTATAATGACTGTTAATTATTCTAAATGATAATAAGTACTTATTAAATGACAATGTGCTAATAAGAGTAATTAAGACTATTTTTTGAATTCATTTACAGAGCTAGTTTGTTTTTAGTCATATATATTAACTTGTTTTGCCTATTTGTGGAAATGTGGGTCGGAATTTGGAAAGTTTTATCAGTAGCTTGGAAAACAGTTCTTTGTTATGGAGGCTATGAATATCAGAGATCCCTTGATATTTGGAAATAGAAAAGGCTTTGTCTAATGGTGATGTCTTGAGAATATTTCACTCAGTGTATACCACACCTCACATGGTTTTCTTAAGGCCTATCTAGCATGAAAGAAAATATTTCATATCATTTCACTGATGCAGGGTCAGATTCTGTTCACATTTGATGCAGGGGCAGATTAAGTTCAATTTGATGTAGGGGCAGATTATGTTCAATCTGATGCAGGGGCAGATTAAGTTCAATTTGATGCAGGGGCAGATTATATTCACATCTGATGCAAGTCAGATTATATTCACATCTGATGCAAGGCAGATTATATTCACATCTGATGTAAGGCAGATTATATTCACATCTGATGCAAGGCAGATTATATTCACATCTGATGCAAGGCAGATTATATTCACATCTGATGCAAGGCAGATTATATTCACATCTGATGCAAGGCAGATTATATTCACATCTGATGCAAGGCAGATTATATTCACATCTGATACAAGGCAGATTATATTCACATCTGATGCAAGGCAGATTATATTCACATCTGATGCAGGGCCATGTTATATTGATGACTGATACAGGGCCAGAAGTAATGATCATATGTTCTATTTTCAGGTACATTTGTTGTGTTTAGAATCAGTGTTTTAGCGTGGATGACAAGATGGATTGTTATCAACCGCCATTTAATACCTCTTGTATTTTACTCTGTTGGCAGTATAGGACTAGCTATTATAACTGTCATGAATATTGTTCTGTTATACCGACTTTTCCGTAGTGATTTTATTTCTAAAAAGGATAGAACACATTGTAAGACTGAGTGACCTGCAGAAGACAGGATTTAAGAGAGTTCGTCTCAAGAACAAGTAACATTCAGAACAGAATGGTTGTGATAGCCCGTAAGGGAGAATTGATTCATTTTGATTAATGTATACCCATATAAACCACTGGCGGAGATGAAGTGTACACCCATCCTATTTATAAACATTAAATACTGTAACTGTCTTATGTAATTTTGTCGGTAAGTCAAAGTTAATTGGAATATAAAATTCAAAACAAATTTGATAATCTTATATTGAATGTGCCGTTACTGAATGTTTTGAATCATATATACAAATTCACATAAAAATCATTTGAAAATTTGATAAAAAGATAAAATTAAGAGGACAATACAGTTGAAATTATGAAAAATATGTATTGTTGAGATCTTATATATATAATACAAATCTAAGTTAGAAATTAAATTTCTGATAGTCCTGAAACCAGATATTCTGTTAGTAGAGTTGAGCTTTTGCCAGACTCGTGTCTATAATTTCCTATTATACTCACTAATTTGATTAAGCATTTCCTCTTTCTAATCTACTTAATATGCAGATCTAAATGTTTATGCATGTTTTTGCCCATCAATGATCTGAAGAAAATCTTGTTGATATTGTGTTCACTTGAAATTTCACCAAATTAAAACTGATATTAAAAGTGGGTTCACACCTCAAAGTTTAAAAATAGCTATTCTAGAATTCCCTACTCCTTATACAAAGCTTTTGTTGAATGATGCATTTAATTGGTTGAAAACTCAAATGACCTTTAGTTACATTACAATTTCTTAAGATCATAAATGGGTATATTAAAGATGGGTTCCCTTATTTTCATTAATGAAAATGCTAATACTCACATTACCATAATTAATTCATAATTAAGCTAAATTAGAAGATTATTATCAGCAGAATTCCAATGAGTAACTAACTGATCAAGAAAGGTCAAAAAGGTTTTTTTTTTGTTTATCCAGACTGTATATACATGGACATTCATGATTGGTCAAAAATCTTAATTTATATGCTATATAAGAATATCATGATATGATTAAGAATACATGATAATTCATTTTTAACTGCATTTTGTTATATAGTTCTTTGGGTATCTTTAGCATTGGTGCAGCATTCTTAGTTAATATATATCATTCTTAAGGTAAAGTGTGTTTGTTTAAAATGTGTTTGTTAATGTGTTCTGTATGTATACACACCCTATCTGTGATTAAGCTTACTATGTGTTTAGTTATCGCATTAAATATTTGTTATGAATTTAAATCAGGCTCAATAGGTTTCTCACTTCTCAGGTTTATATATGACCTCATGGTGTGGCCAATAGAGTAGCCACTAGTGTTAAAAAGATATTTCTTTCTGTATACATAGTAACACAAATATTTAAGTTAAAATGTTATGGTCACATTAGATGTTCTAAAAACCACTGTTAATAAGACTTCATGACAATATGGTATTAATGGCAATATCAAAATAATACAGATGCTTGTATATTCTGATGTCGTTCTTATGGAAATCAATCTGATAAAAATGCTGTGATCTGGATGTTACGTTACATACTCTTGCTATCCATGATCTGACAAGATTCTTCTTTAAATAGTGTTCCATGTTCCATTGTTCCACCCAATAGTATCAAAGTTGTAATTTTTATAATCAATCATAATCACTATTAAATATGGAATGTTAAAAGATATAGAACAGGAGATGCACCGTGCATCAAGCACCACAATTTATCACATTATGAAAGGTGAGTGGAGTCACACTCATAAAAAAACACAAAACAGAACATTCAGATTGTATTCAGATTGTATTCAGATTGTATTCAGATTGTATTCACGTACAAGTTGTTCTCAAGGTTCTCCAGTTATGGATCAAGGAATTTGGCAACTCATTTTACTATGTGACCACTGTAGTTTTTATGTTATAGTATTTGAATTGAAATATTAACTCTATAGAAGTGATAGTCTAAGATTTTATTTGGGCTCACTTGAAATAAACTTGTAAATTTTCAGTCAAAAATGAAGTTAATTTTAGAGTGTAGAATTGGTCTTTTTATAAGAATTTTGTTTCTAATCAAAATGGCATTACTGGGAAGGTCATCAGCATTTTCTTGCCTTTTCTTTAAATATCTGATAACCAATTGCAGCATTTTGCATGGTTGTAAGTGAGTTTTATGCCAACTTAAAGAATAAAAAATAGGAATGCTCTCAAGTGCCTCCAATTAAGAGCATTGGATATTATGTAAACAAAAGAGAGCATTGTAGTCTGTAGTATTCCTGTTTATTTCAGATATATATCTTGCCTTATTAATTAGAGTTATATTTGATATTACATAATGTTTAGTTTTGTTATATAATTTATATAGAAAATATATATTCTCATAGTTTTTATATAACTTGCCCTCTGATTGTAGATATGTTTCAATTTCTGTGCTCAGATCTACCTTAGATATGTATATTATTTATGTACAGGACCATTGCTGAATTTTTGCTATCTGTATCACTTTTTATAATTCAAATCCAATATATTGTTAAATACATTTTTGTTTCCATGGTTTCATATCAGTAATATATACATATGGAAAAGTTAAGCCATTGTTCTATCGTTAAGCATAGATAGTAGAAAAAATGAAAGTTGGATTTTAATTCTGAAAAGTGATACAGGTAGCAAAACTTGAGGTAGATATTTAGACCACTATAATTATATGCAGGTACCTATAAAATATATACTCTATATATATTCAGGATATTTTGTCACAACCCATGCCTTTTGATATTAATTTCTTATAGCATTTTTAATCAAACTTTCACCATGTCATCAGATTTTGCTACCGTAAATATTTTTTTTAATTATATATTATTGGTGCTCTTTTCTAATATTTTTTTTTCTGTTAAATCATTGCTTTCAGATTAGATTGGATCTAGGAATTATTGTTTGAAATTTACAGTCAGCTGTGATTGGTCATATTTCCAAATAAGATAATGAAATATAAGGTTTGGTCAAAAAAAGAAAAAAAAGAATAAAGGTGCAGGCACACAAACGAGTCTTGTGTCAAGTTTCACTGACTGTCACGGACACACAAGGAGACAAAAATAGAGGAGATAAAAGATATCAGAGATAATTATCAAACTTACACACAAGAATTTACCAATCTGCGACAAAAACCAAGACTACTTGTTTGCCGGCGCCTTAATAGACGTCATCTCAAGTTCTGTTTCATTATTTCAAAATGGCTGACTTCACTTCATTACTGATAATTGGTAATATGGAGATACAACATATTTTTTTTTATTAAAGCCAAGATATATAAGTCACAGTGAGTAGGATGTGTCAATCAAAACCAAACTATGTGTTACAATTTAGTTTGATTTAGGCATTTGTTAAACTGTTTATGACCGTCAATCTACCCCATCTTTTTTAAAACTCTATCCTGTTGCTTAGTCAGATGTATATGTGTGTTCTAGATGTAAAGTGATATGAATTGTCAAGCCAAAATATTTGTGCTAATCCAGGCATTGGGGCTACAAAGATTTTTTCATATTAAGCTGTGATTTACTTTTTCTTCTTTGGGATACTTCACTCATTCTATAATCTGTTTACATTATGTTCAATATTCGGAAAAATTTCAAGTTCAATGAAAGCTTAGCTATTACTGATACCTGCTTTCTTTATTGAAGGTTTACAACTTGTCAAAATGTAATTGCGCTGGAATTGATTTAGATTTAAGACTATAAAGTTGCCCACAGAGAAGAAATGAAACAAAATATATACAGCTGTGTATAAGTCAGATTGATATTGTTCTAATTGATACACCTTTTTTGTTCATTCCATTGTGTATATAGACAACGTGATTCCACTGGCTTATATTGATTATATTTTGTTGTTAGTATTTGAATATTGTTATTTGCTTTGAAAATTAGTCCTAAATTTGCAGACACTGTAGCTATACTCTTCAGAATTAATTCGAACTCAAATTTGAACTGATGAGTTGAGGATTAGGAGGATACAATTAGAATAAGAGAATACAATTAGAATAGGAGAATACATTTAGAATAGGAGAATACAATTAGAATAGGAGAATACATATAGGAGAATACATTTAGAATAGGAGAATACAATTAGAATAGGAGAATACATATAGGAGCATACATTCAGAATAGGAGAATACAATTAGACCAGGAGAATACATTTAGAATAGGAGAATACATTAAGAATAGGAGAATACATTTAGAATAGGAGAATACAATTAGAATAGGAGAATACATATAGGAGAATACATTTTGAATAGGAGATTACAATCATTTGGAATAGGAGAATACAATGATTCAGAATAAGGGAATACTATCATTTGGAATAGGAGAATACAATACATTAGAATAGGAAAATACAATCATTTGGAATAGAATACAAAGTCATTTGGAATAGGAGAATACAATCATTTGGAATAGGAGAATACAATTATTTTGAATAGGAGATTACAATCATTTGGAATAGGAGAATACAATCATTTGGAATAGGAGAATACAATACATTAGAATAGGAAAATACAATCATTTGGAATAAAATACAATGTCGTTTGGAATAGGAGAATACAATCATTTAGAATAAAATACAATGTCGTTTGGAATAGGAGAATACAATCATTTAGAATAAAATACAATGTAGTTTGGAATAGGAGAATACAATCATTTAGAATAAAATACGATGTCGTTTGGAATAGTTCAATAAAGTATTTTTATAGCATGTGAAGTTTAAAACATTCTTTTGTGATAAAGTTAACTGTATTAAGAGCCTAGGTAAAGTGTCTACAAGTTTCTGACTAATGTATATATAGTAATGCTGATATAGATTATTTATGGTAAAACTTGTGGCTCAAAAGATGTTTGTTGGCCTTTATATCTATCAGGGAAACTTGCAGCTTCCTTTTCTTACATTTTAATTTCCAGTCTGATAACTGTGGTTCATTAATT